AGTCAGCGGTCCGATGCAGGAAGGCCCCTTATCACTCCGACCGATTTGCGAAGACGAGGTCAGAAGATCCCTATTCTCTCTAAATCAGTACAACCAGCGAAACTGTAACTGTGTCTGAGCGGACATGAGATACGTTCGCCTCCAAACGAAATTATAAGTAACCCACAGCGTCCCTTCTCAACTCCCAATGTACTTTATGTTGGTTGAAAATTCACTTAATCCTTCAATATTTTTTATCTGGTTGTGCGTAAGGCCAATCATCTGACTAACCTACTCCTTCCTCTTCTAAAGTTATTTTTCCTTACAATGCTTCTAACAGGTTCTCAACCTTCTACCATCTGGTTGGTCTTTATCCCGGATAGAACCTTTTCTGCGCCGATCTGTTGTTCACTTGCATCAAGCGATCGTAAAATCTGAGGTAGAATTAGGTCTTGTAACCTGTCTTGCGCGTAAATCTGCCCGAGATTTGGCGGTTACTGACTCCGAGTCATCCGTACATGTTGGCTATCTAATGGACATTGACTCCTTATCAAATTGCTGCCGATGTGGCCTTCCGATCGATTCTTTTACTCCAGCCTCCTTGGCCCCTCCTTTTGCTCTCGTCTCCAAAACACCATCAACTAAATCCACAGATTCTGATCATGCTGCTTATTTGCCTGGCGAACTTGTACACGTGCAATGTCTTTAAAATGTATAATACTTCTCTCATATGTCTTGTTCTTGAGAACGAGATTATCTATGGTTTTTGTACATTTGCCGGTATCTCCGACATGTATCTACATGATTTACAGCCTATTTTTCCCATTTTATTATTGTCCTTACAGAAAATACTCGTTATTTAATCATTTGAATGCATAAAGGGAGTTTACTTAGAAGTGGGTTAACCTCGTTGTCGCAACTTGGTCTTGTTGTCGGGGCGACTTAGTAAAACGCACCCTGTCCGAAGTCCTCTGACAAAGTAGTATTCATAATTCCCAGCATCAGACAGTGGACTTGGTACATTCTCAGACATT